CCCCAAAACCCCAAAACCCCAAAACCCCAAAACCCCAAAACCCCTTTTTATTTGAGAATAATTGTATCAAAATAAAATTATCAAAATGTCCATCTCGTGAAGAGAACTTGAAGATGACATTATCATCGCACATAGTGAAATCAGGGAGAACCCTGAGATCCTGATCAATGAGCTTGAGAACTTAGTTGATGATACAAAGACTTATTATACTCCCTCCACTCATGCAGCCTCTCTCGTCGGTGCTAGTGACTTGAAAGATATAGTAAATTTCATGATTTTAATCCCTTTAGGCTCAAGAGATAATCAATAGAATCAAACACATGCCTGCATCAAACCCTCTGATCCATTCAAGAGAGCTAGAGCTTGCAGCAAGAGACCATGCTACTTCATACAAGCCAGATTACGACCTTGCAAGCAGAGTTGAGAGCTACACCAACTGGGATGGAGAAATAAATGAGATCGTACACTACTCTAAAGCCACTGCTAAAGGGATCGACGTGCTCATGAACATGGCCATATCTGACTATATCGGGGATACCAAGAACATCGAGACAATGTTTGGACCTAACTACAGATTCTTTGGTGTCAGAGTAAATGCTCATGACCTTTATGATTACTGTGTTGTCATCATCTATGCTGAAGAGATTTATTCCACTGTCAAGACAGCCTTATTCACCTCCTCAAATATTGACAATGAGATAAGAGAGGAAAGAGAGACATTAGCAAGGAATATTGCTCAAAAGAGTGCCTACAGGTATCAATCTCGATTCGCTAGGGAGAACCCTAATGTCCAGAAGCATGATCATCTTGATAAATCTAGGAAATCATTGAGAAAGGTAAGCCCAATCCTGATGCTGAACCAACTTTCACCAGGATCTAGCGAAAAGTTTCTTAGTTTAAAGAAAATTCCAGAAAGTTTCTCTTCAGCCTCTATTACTGTAAATAACTCGATTGCTTAGGTTCGCCTCAACCAAAATGATGATGGTGGGAGGACACTCACAGTTTTCAGAAGGGATTCTTTAGAAAGAAACACTGAATATGTCCCACATGATGACACTGATTACCTGTATTCTGACAGAAGAAATGAGCGCTTCTCCAGAGCTTCCTACTTTGGAAAGGAAAAGCCCAATAAATTATCCCTTGGACGTGGAGAAAAGATTTATCGCCGGACCATTACTGATTATGACAATGAGATCTACAGTAAGCAGCTTTGCTAGATCATGAGTTTAATTAATATTTAGGCAAAAATATTGGCCCAAGTCATGAAAGAGTTACAGTCCATGCACCTGGAGAAGCTGATCCTTACTCCCAGAGGTACACTGTTGAAAGTCATAGAGATATTGATGATGGCCTCTACTATGCAGACCCATACAAAGTCAAACGGTTAGAAGAAACTATTGTGTCAAACTACCCTACAGTTTCCCCAGAACTCAAATATGGAAAGAGCAGTCGTAAATCCAGAACAAGGGAGTCTACTTATGAAAAGGATATGAACTCTGATAATGTGACTACTTTTAGGACTACTGCTCATACTCCTCGCAAGAAGCATAACAGGCGTATCTATGCAGACACTGTAGATGATTCAGAAGCTTCAGGGTACTACTCAAGCCAAAATTCAAAAACAATCTCAAACATTCCTAAAGATGACGGAATCGAAGTGGTTTATACCGAAGAGCCTATTTATGATAGAGAGATAACTTTTAGAACACCACAGTACCCTACTAATTATGCAAGGAAATCTGTTGTCAATGATATGGCTGCTGTTGTAGAAGAGCCAACTGTGAGAAGGCACACCACATATACTGAACACCAACCTAGAGTTGTTTCAAATTACCAAATGGTAGAGCGGGAAGCAACAAGAGCATCCTCTCCCAATAGACCTTCCCTTACTCCCATCATCGGGGGAGGGGTTACTAGCATAAAGCCCTCATACCATGACCAAAGAGCCACGAACGACAGGTTCAACGATGATGTGTACAAACTTCATGAACTTGACCTGAGTGACAGCTACTAAAATATTTCAATAATTCCAAAGGGAATAGGGGTTTTGGGGTTTTGGGGTTTTGGGGTTTTGGGG